CGGGATCCTGGTTTGACCTCAGAGAAACTTAATCCGGAAGGCAGCTGGTCTTCTGTGTTCGGGATAAAGTATACATCTCGGTTGGGGTGGTACGCACTTCTTTAATCGGAAACTGCCCAGACCAAATACGGACGCATGAAGTAGTTATACATATTTTATACACACATCGCACACACCGAGACCGGTGATTTTTCCCATATTTTGACCTCAAGACGTGTCCATGGGGAATGCCGCTGAAATTACTTCCCCTCCCCCCCGCGCCCCGCGCCCCGCACTCCGCACTGAGCCGTGACTTCGATTGTGTGGCCGAGGGCGACACATGTAATCATACCACCGATGAAGAAGCTAATTCTGATACGTCGTTTGAGTATTTCTCTCTTCCGAAACCATGACAGATATATATGTACAGGCACACACGTAGTAATGGGTCACGTGTGTACGAATCCGAAGTCACGTGTTCAAGTCACGTTCAAGTCATTCGTCTTGGACAGTAATTGCAATTTCTCTCCCTGCTGCTTCTCTTTACTCTGTCTCTCTTGAGTAGTTATCGCTGACCTTATTGTGCGCAACCCTACATACATGCATTCGGTAAAGTCAATAAAATAAAACAGTCACCAGTAAATCACATATTGTAAAGAAAAGTGAATGAAACAAATCTTCCCAAAAGGTTTAAAATAGCACAAACAGTGGGACCACGTGTTGTTGTCGTCCGCAGCCCAGCCCACCACCACATTCGGACCCCATCTGTTGCTTGGTTTCCGTTTTGTCGATTCCGCTAATCCGTCTCGAACGAAGCGTTGCTTCCAACGNTAACCCGAATTCCGTTGTGCCTCTGACAAGCATATGCGGGCATGTCCCATGTTACGGGGACGGGAGCGGGGTGGGGTGTGGGGGGGGCGTTTCGTCTGCACGTGAAAGCTATGTAAAATCTGTTCGCCATTTTAAACTGCGATAAAACGGTTTTCTTCATATTAACGATTGCTACTTTTTGACAAGTTCTACGTCACGTGGCGTCGTGTGCAATTGGCTGAATAGGCGTTGATTGGTTTTCAAACAATGTAGGCGATTACTCTTGAAAATTGTTAGTTCTTCCTAAGCACAGACTGGTTAACGATTCCAAAGTTTATCGATTACTGAAAAACTATCCATTTATGAATAACTTTTGGTATTTCGTACGGTTTATCTACCGGCTATTGGTTTCCTTTAATGTTTACATCGACTTGAACGATTCACCTGTGTTACCTCGTGTTCTCTTCGATTTTTTTCTAAACACATTTTATTTGAACGGCCTAGAACTGACTTAATTCGTTCGAACCATTGGCCATGCATTTTGACCGTACACAAGAACCACCAGTTTGATTCGAGTGGTATCCGTCAGTCAATCGTTGCCCTTCCGGTCCCCAAATTGACGCTGATGAAACGTATCAGGGTGTTTTAAGCACACAATTCAAGGTTGCTGTGTAATCCGAGCGCTTTCATTAGGCGCAATGAATCTGTTACACATTTCGGTCACAATACCACTAAATTTATTCCCATGAAGCTTTAGACTAAGCCTTAATTTTTTAAATTGTTCTAATTGTGTCAAATGTTGCAGCGTTAACAAACTGATGATAGTAACGGCAGGGGGGTTTCTCAACCATGTTTATTATCCTTGGCATTTTGATGTATCCACTTCTCATGACCAGAGTTCAATTTAAGTGGAGTTACAGAACGATAAGCATTTACTTTTTTGTGGAATAACTTTTCGATTTACTTCACGGCTTGTGAATGCAGAACAATTGTACCGTTTGTGTTACAAATTAGATTTTTACTCACATGAGTATCGCATGTTATACGGAAACACCAAAGCTGTACGAGATGTGTCAAATGGTTTGACGATACAGGCACATTGTTTAAACCTTCTCTAATCAACAACATGCGACCGCCACACCCTCTCATTTCTTAACCAAGCTCGGAACATCAACATTTGTAAAATAAAATGTTTCAACATTCGTTGACCTCAGAATATTTCGATACGTTTTGATTTGACTCTCCTAACATAGTATGACTAAAGTTTGTTAGTCGAGGCTAGAGAACTGTAGTTGTTTGGTTAAAGCTAAAGGTGTAGTCAGGGTGTGCGTTTATCAAATGATTACCTGAAGTAATGCACGCAGCCTAATTGAAGATCGATTCCGGGCGATTTGCAAAGATGCACATTTTCAGCAAACAAGGTCTCCGTAGAGATCGCATGTTGACCTCCCGAGTGTTAAGGCTGCGGTCCAACAAAGAAACCTCCCTGGGACTGGTCTCTTTTGCATCAACGAAGAGTCAACATTTGTGTAAGCGAACATAAAAGGCCAAGAAGCAGTCAGACAGCTAAGAATAAACTAAGAATGAACAGACTGTGGGAAAAGGCGCAAAATCAGTTTTCGTTTTATCATATACAAAAACAAGGATGTTAAGTATTGTTGTGAGCGGTTGTTACTAGTCAACTAGGAAATTTATAGCTCGCGGTACTCGGAACAGGTTAAACATTACTGTCACGTGGTAACCGGAATAAAATGACCATCTGTAAAAACATATTTAGGAGGTCGCAGTTTCCTTTCGTACCACAGTGAATAGTAGTGAATAGTTAGACCCATGAATATTAAAATTTACTTTAGAAGTGAGTGTGAGAGCACCTTCACGTCCAGTTTATTTATGCTTGTGAGCAAAGCAATTTAACTTGATGCTAGAATAGAGAGTATGCGTGTGTTCGACAGTTTTAATCATTCAGGGAAACACTACGAGTGGAAGAGGGTATGACGAGAACAGAGAGTGAAAGGCGTAGTCCCACCATTCACGTGATTGCATTATACAAAGAGTGGATTGATTTGAGCTTTGTTCAATAGTTGAGCTGGGATGCAAAAGTCTCTGCCGTGTGTGAGGGGAAACCAAACTTTGTGCGCAGCACGAAAACCAAGCAGAACTATAAAAGGGAACCAGCGTACCGAAAAGGTCATAGGCAACCTAAGACAATGAATAGAATTTGTTGCAATAACGACGAAATGTTGCTAGAATGAACGGTTTTTCAGCGCAGTCGAAGGAGTAGAGATTCTTGCTGCAATAAATGTGACGTGATTATAATATTCTCAGGAGATCTGATTAGTTACACACCCGCTGCAATATGATTACGATTAAAGCTTTTATTAGCCTGAAACATAGTGTGGTAAAATTCAGAGTAATGGATCATGACTTCATTAGCATATTAATGGATTGGGTTAGACAGTTGAGCTAGAAGATCGTTGATAAAGAGCGTGGGCTCAAGTGTCGAACCTTGGGGAACGCAAATATTCAAAGTAAATGGATGAAAAAGAAATCCATCTACTTGAAAGAATGGGTTTGCTTACTAAGCCGGAGGGAGCCCGAAGTTTCGTAGGAATGCCTTGATTTCCAACTCGATTGAATTCCTTTTAGATGTCACGAGAGGTTAGATGTGCTTCACCGTGGTCATCACGCTCAGCCGTCTAGGAAGTTCAGCGGAGAACCAGTAGGCTAAAGGGTAGGATGGCGGCTCCGGTCACTCAATCGTCCTTCTTGTCAGAGAAACATGCGCATTTTTTCGACAGTGGTAGTTTCATAAACCTTCAAAAGAACAAAGATAATTGAAATCGGATAGCCTTGTTTTGATCAGAAATTTTAACGCATTTGAGGATAGGAAAGGTCAAGTTGTTTCCCAACGTTTAGAGAAGTGAAAAGTTGGCGAGAAATACAAAACGGATGATGTGGATCAAGAAGTAACTGAATTGTGTATCGTCACGCGTGAGCGCAACGCATGATGGATCCTTTTAGTGCTCAATAGGTAGAAACGTGACAATGGCGAACCCAGAGGGTGAGGAGGATAATTAAGTTTGAATTGGAGACAAGCCGGGAAGTAAAAAGCTCAGCCTCCTCGTGGGATTCACCCGTAAGATCGTCAAAGAAATTACAAATAAGTGAGAGAGAGAGAGAGATCGGAGGCCAGAAATTGGAGGAAACTTTGGCAATGGCGCATCCCATTTGGCTAGTAATGGTTTTTGCAGCGGACAATGCGTTCTTTGATCTTCTGCATTCCTGACGAGCACCTGCGCCCGGATTGCACGAAGCGGTACCGAAGGTGGTTTGTAGCGCAGAACTGTTTATCTCCAGATTGGCGGAGGACGAGGATAGGGGTGTGTTAGTTTTGATGAGGGGAAAAACAATAGGGGGAGGGGGCGGTTCGATTAGCCAAGGGGTAGGAGGTTAGATCTCTGGAACTAGAGAAGAGACAGAAATGAGAATCAGGAAAAATATAATAGGAAGGTCACCATCTCAATTGGGGACATATTTGTGGGAATCAGCACTCAGTCACTGGATGTTGACTACGACGCGATATTCAGCTTAGTGCCTGAAAGTGTCAGAAGTGTGCATCAACCATTCCTGATTACGAACGATGATACAAGTGCAGTTTTGGTTCATAAAAGTAAAGTCAAATAGTGTCATTAGGTAATAAGTTGACGATGGAATAGCTGTCACTGTCCGATGCCTGATAAATCACACAAAAGTAAAAACTAAAACAAACAAGGTGGAGCTTCAACCACAGATCAACGCAGCTTTATCATTAGACGTATTAATATCGTGTGTACTGGAATGGTCACTAATTGTCGGATAAAGGCACAGACAACAGCTCTGGATAAAGCGGAGGAGTGAGACGTGTAGTTAGAAACTGGAAGGTGGCTGATCGGAGACTGGCGAGAAGGGAGATATCTGCTTTTAGACAAATACATTAGAGGAGGAGAACACCGGAGAAACTGATGTACCATCTTAGTGCCACAGTTCTGTCCGAGAATGTTAGTCAGCTATTTTGCGAGTGGGTAAGCGAGTAAGCGAGGGTTTCCTTGATTTTTGCCGACCTGATTCATGATTCATAACGAGCGAACTGGTAACCGTCATCGTGAGATTTGAACCGGTGAACCCCCAAAAGCCACAATAAAACAGGCGTGATAGTGAAGCGGGAGACAGCAATGCTGTCTCTCACCAGTAAGTTGGATACCGGATTGATTTCCTTCTATACTGCCAATACTTATCTCTCTTTTTGTCTCTTTTGTCTCTTCGTAAATTATACTGTGACCTATCTCTCCATTCATCAGTTACTTCAGCTCATTTTAGGCAGTCTTCTACTCCAAGGGCTAATTTAAATGAGAAAAAGCGTTTTTATTTTTATTAAATTTGTGTGCATCTGCCCCAAACGAATGTAGCTTATTCCTAGGCTAATCGAAGTAACGATGTTTAAATTCCTCTGTTCGGCAGAGTGAAGTCTTATGTCTAAACTATGGACCGTTCAGTAACGTTTGTTGGATTTGAACGCCGACATGGACGTCACTAAGGCTTTTGGCGCAGTGCACGCTCCACCAGCTGAACCACGAGATCATACCGATGGCATTAATGTTTTCTAATTTGGACCGACTGTACAATTTGCCGAGGCCTGTGAAATCCACTACTAGGCAGTATGTAAGCTAACTGCCGCTGCTATCGGCGTGAACTCATAGCTCAACCAATAGAGCATGCGCTTTGTACACATGGCGTCCGGGAATGGATTTGAATTTCACCGATTCTACTGAAATCTTCACAATTTTACATAAAATTGTCGGTTTGTCCGTAGTCCAATATAGGCAATCAAACTTTCCTGGCTATCGACAGCACATCCTCAGTAAAGACAAAAAGTGAATGTGTGCTCCTATGCTTGAGTAAGAAAACGTTTCAGTGTTGCGTTTTCCGGCATGATGGGCAAAAGTGATATGTCCTGGCTTTCAGCACCTTACACGATTCTGCGTGACAAAACTATTCTTAGTCAGCAATTAGTTTAAATGAACAACTAACTTCTCTCTCTATGTATTTATATTCCCGTTTTTGATGCAATTAATTTTAGATCCTTTTGCGTTTCTGTTACATCATTGTAGGTGTTAGATCTCGTCGAACACAACAGCTTGTGGTGACACGTGATCCGGACGAATCGTGCGCAAACACCTTGTCGACTTTCACCACCACCACCACTCTGAATAAAACTATCCGCTCGCCAGAACAAGCCCTGTCCACGGTCGTTGATGCTCCCGATCGAACGAACTTCATTACTTCCTCACCGAAGTCACGCTCGAAACATTTACCCCCGTTCCCTCAATCCTCTGTCTCGTGGATTGGAGCCGGCTCGAATTCCGAAACGCTCAACCACGGGAGTTGTGCAATTCATTACTTGCGAGATATTCTCAAGGCATCGGGGGATAGCACATCGACCGCTTATGTACCACAGTGTAGTGTCCATTCGAAGGTCATTTTGGGTGAAATCACAACAATTGTGCACCTGAACTTGGAACTTATGAATCACTTCACAAAAGATCGAAGCAAAGTGAATGATCTGATGCAGTCGGTCAGTGATCAGTTGAAAAGCATCGGTAAGTTCACGCATACACGAAGCAACTTTCCCAGTCCATGTGTGGACATGATATGTTGTCGTGGGGTGCGCGCGCATTTTGATCTCTCATCTCGCAGGGCTACAGTGCGATCTGTTACAAGCAGGAAAGCATTATTTTCGGGGTGAGGAGAGAGGGCAGACTGAATGACTGGCGAATTAATTGTCTGTGCAACTGATTCCCATAAGCAGAAAATTAAAATTCCTTGCAGGCTATCCCGGTTGAGCATACCTTTTCAGTGACCCGACTGCTACGATCGTATTGAGAAAGAATAGTGAGAAATCAGTCCTCGACGGTTTTCTGCTCCAGGTACCTGGTTTTCTCTCCGAATCAAACGATATCGTACAATGATGAGTTATGTTCGAAAGCATCAGGTTGATTGGATTTATTTTCGTTTTTCGAGTTTTTTGAAGGGGAATTTTCTGTTTCGAATGACTGTGCACTCGATAAAAATTCTATCTTGAATTTCCTCCGATATTTATGTTTACCAGACATCCGGATTAAAAGTTCAGCGTAGAAGTTGTGCACCCGATGAAACTGGAACCATTTAGCTCCCCCTGTACACACAGTGGTTTGCCATAACAAAACACAGAGACGTTTCAATTAAAACTCCTCCTACTGGTTCCTATTTTAAGCGTATACGCGTATTCTCACTGGTATGGAAATTCCACTGGGCACCATTTTGTTGTCTTTCCTCTCCCTCGTTGTTATGGTTATGTGAACTCAATTGTGCGTTCCTATTCAACTGAGAGGATACTTTCCATATATTCTGAATAGACCTGTCAGCGGACCATGAGAGAAAGGAAACTACGACGGCCTCAAAGTCTGTCTGACTGACGAGTTCGTAGCGGCTGTGCACATATTGATTTAAAACTAGCAATGTCAACATTCTTGCCACGAACGGAGGAAACAGGCCAATGTGAGTTGCAGTTGGTCAGGTAACCTAAAAGTGATTGACGTGTTGTGGTTGTGCGTTGTTGTCCCTAAACCATCGGCGATGCTTGCAAAAAGAAACAGAACCTTGAGAGCAAATTATGGGCTTTTTGTTCTCTTGTACTATGAGGTATTTGGCAATGGTAACCACGAGCCTGAACTCTCAAACTTGAGATGAGAAAGAATGGGTGCTTCTCGTAGAAATGGGACTAACTGTTTGCTGTTTTATTGAACAAACCAATTTTGAAGTTTGATCCTGGATTGTTACATGGTTCGAGTGTTCGGCCACTGCTGCTATACGGCGTAGAAATTTGGTCGTTACGAAAACGGGATGAGGAGAAACTGTTGATGCTGAACACCACTGTCTACATCGCACTGCACTAGTCTAGTAGGAAAACCAGACAAACACGGTTAGGGTGAGGTGCAGAGTTTTAGGTAACCTCGGTTGATCACTTGAGCAAATGTTCGACCTCCGTAGACTGCGTTGGTTGTGCCGCGTATGTCACGAAATAGATTGCCACGGCGTGTGCTGTTTGGTGAGTCAAATGTTGGGTAGAAAAAAATAAAGGGTGGTCAAACTCAAACCTAGTGTGAGGGTATGAACACCTTTACCGGGAGACGCCGTCACATAGGTCCCATTTGGCTCGCTGGATGGGGATTCCGAGATCTTGGTCACCGATGGCTAAAAACACTGCGTGATATGGCTGAGTGTCGCAAACAGTGGTGTTCGATCATCGAATCATTATCTTTGCAACCTTAGACCATATTAGTTCTGCGTCCTCTTTGAATCTGCTTTCAACAACTTATTTTTTACTCTGATCGTTTATCCAAACGGTTGGTCAAAACATAGAAACAAAAACTGACGCCCCAAAGTGCATGTAAAAAGTAAACTGAATCAGGATCATTACAAGTCAGTGTAAACAGTGGATAGTGTTGTGAGATACTACTCACTTGTGAGTAGTCGGTAACTTTCAATGATTAAAAATA